GTGAGATTTAGTTACTATTAAAGGTTTGGACCCACATCTCCACACTGTCTTTGCCAAGGATCTCTTCCTGGCACCAGGCTCCATTTTGTTCAAACCTCTGATCTTCCTCGTCTCCTGGTCCCTGCTCCCTCCACAACCTAACCCTGGACTTAAATCTCTTCTTATGGCTCTGATTATTATGTACTTGTTTATTAGTCTTCCAATCATTCTTCTCCCGGATAGTGAATCAAAAAAAAAAAAAAAAAACAGGAGTTTAGGTTTCTCTGTTTTGTGCTGTTCACCATGCTTCATTGTTATGAAAAACTTAAGACTAAAACTGCCAGATACCGTAGTACATTAAGTCACTTAACCCTTATAAAACTCTTGTGCAGTAGGTGTGATTATTTCCTCTGTAATTCTAGAATCCAGTAGACACAGTGAATGCTTTGGAAATTTAGATACGTGGCTGAGTCAGGTGTAGCTCAGACCTGTAAGGCAAATGATTCTGTGTGATAAGCAGAGAGATTTTCCTCCATTCCTTGTACTGCTCCATATTTCTAAGCTGTGTGTATTCTACATGTATTACCCTTATCAGAAACAAACATTTTATAAAGAAAATGAAACTTATATATACTCCGTACATTTAGAGAATATAGGCTATTAGAAAGAAAAAAATTGGGCTGGGGATTTAGCTCAGTTGCATAAGCGCCTGCCTGGCAAGGGCAAGATCATGAGTTCGATCCCCGGTACTACAAATAAATAAATAAATAAATAAATCAAAAGTGCTGAAGTGTCCAACCTGGAGAAAAGACAATGCCTTTCCTTCAATCCAGAAAGAAAAAAATAGACATCATTTAAATGTAGGTATAACCCTGTCAATATGTTGCTCCTTCTATTTCTAATTTTTTATATGTATGTCATAGAAAAAATTTGCCTAGTTATAATCATTTTTCACTTTCCAAGTTTGAGGCTAGCCTGTGCAATATAGGTAGATCCTGCCTCAAAATAAAACATGAAAGAGGGCTGGTGATACAGTTCAGCGCTCCCTGGGTTCAGTCCCCATTACTGCCAAAAGGGTGGGAATACTAGTAGTCTTAATGGACTGTAAAAATCCCCATTTTATCCTCTCCTCTTCCTGTGCTGCCCTCTCTCTTTCTTAAACTACAGTCTTTGACTTGTGTACCACCCTGAAAACTCCATTTTGTTAAGGTATCATTATGACGAGCAAGAAAAGAAAAAGAAAGCTTGTTATGTCTCCTCATTAGCACACATACCTCATTTATAATACCTTTTATGTGTTTTTGGTAAAGCTTCAGTCTGCATAGTCATATATTCATTCATTTCACAAATATTTGCTAAGTACTTCATAAATGCTATTTCTCTCTGCAGTAAGCATGAGGAGACAATAGAATTCCTATTCTTTAGGAGATTGCAGATGCATAAGCAGGAAAAAGAGCCAGGTGACAGTTGACATGTAGAAATAGCGATCATGTGCTATAAAATCGGAAAGGACTTGGTTCACAGAGATCCAAGTGATTTTGATAAGAAAATGGAGCTCAAAGAAAGTCCTTTACTGGTTGGAGGTTGAGTCAGCAGATGTGACTACAAAAATTCTGCTCTTTCCTCTCAACAGTGTCATAAGAAGATGCCCTGTTTTCCTTGTGACTAGGTACCTGTCTGCATTGGGGAATTCGTGCAGTGAGGACCAGAGCTTCCCATTTATATCTCTCATTTCAAAATGCCACCAATTTGTGGTTTGAAATAAGAATTATGAAACAGAAAAGTAGGGAGGCTTAAATTCTCTAGACTGTCTTTATCTGTTTAATTGGGTAATCAAAATCTCTACCCCCATCTTTTTAAAAAAAGATATTTCAGATAAACCTTTGTAAGCTCCTATTTTTATAAGTAATGTCATGGTTTCTTCCTTCTCATCAAATGCCAAATGTGGCATTTTCATAGGAGTGTGGGTTCCCAAACACCTTGAGAAGTTGTGATACCCCATGACTTTAGCAGAGGGCATTCAGGTCTGTCTCTTACATGCCATCTAATTTTGAACAAGCTACTAACCCCTTTGAGCCTCAGTTTTCTAATTCATAAGATACAAATGCAAATAACTGATTCACAGAGCCGATGTAAAGGTTCAGTGTCTTTGCACAGTGTCTGGCATATAGTGCTCTATAAATATAGGGATGACACTGTAGCTTTGTATAAGTATGAATTTGGAGTACCAATCAGTTTTACAAGTCAAAATACAGCAGTAGCTCTTTCTACTAATGACTGCTTTATAAAAGTATGAAGAAACTAGTAGGTCCACACATTAAATGTGTAATATTAGTCATTATTTTCTCAGATTTTCAATTAAGGGATTGGAACACTGCTGATAAACTTTACAGATGATCCAGAAAAAATGTACATTATTCTGTATAATATAGCAAGAAATTCTTTTCCTTGCTGAGCTCTCATTGCCCAGGACAGGCTACAGCACAAGCTTTGCAGATGTTTTCCAATAAATGATTTCACACTGTATTTAAGAACTAGAAAGAATAATAGCACTTGGCAATGAACCTTTTTGTGCTTTCAGGTCTGAGCCTGTGACATTAGTGAATTTTTTTTTTTTTTTTTTTTTGAGGGCAGAATTCTTCTGATATCAGATCAGTATTTGGCTTTCTGTTTTGATCAATAGACTTACTACTTGGCCTTGAACTTCTGTGATGCTGGGGAATCACAGACATTTCTCAGGTTGATTTACATGGCAACAAATAATCTGTGCTGTCTATTGCTTGTCCCATCAACGTCTTCCCCCTCCGTAAAAATCTTAGAGGCTTGGCGACCCGAAGGCTGGAGCGTGGTGCATGTGTTAATTCCAGTTACAGATGTGTGTGTGTGTGATGAGCTGTTCAGTGTTGTTGCCTTTTTGGGTTTTGGTTTCTTTTTTCTTTTTTTGCTCTAATATGCACCTAATCAGGTATTGTAGTGGTTTCCATTTGATTTTGTTAATGTTACTATACTGTTTTTTTATTTCTGTTCTATTCTAAGCACCACATGTATTATTTCACATAATTTTTACATCCCCAGAAATAATTGTGCCCTTTTTGTAGACATGGAAATTAGAACTGAAACATATTCTCTGAAATCACTTGTCCAAGAGCCACGAAACTGAGATTTGAACCCAAGTCTTCCTGATCAAAAAACTTTTAGCACTATACCATGACATTTTCATCATCTGAAGTATATTTTTCTCCTTTTGTAATTATTTTATGGTTAGTTTGGTACCCTGCTACAAAGATCTAAAAGTTTTCTGTACTATTCAGAGGTGAATATTAAGTTTCTTAACAGAATTGCAAATACATGAAATTTATAGTGACAAACATAGCCAGATTACTTTCTTGTTATCCATCCATTTAGCAAATTTACAGTTTCCATTAATTTTAATCTGTCCCAGTTACCTGTTTTCTATAATAAATGTCTCCTAGTCATGACAGACTCATTGAGTATAGATCACCTGAAGTAGACTTTCTCTCAATAAGCGGAGTTGCAGCTAAAGATTTGTGAATTAATTGGGAAAATTGCAAATCAGGTAGTCAGTGAAATAGTTCATTGTCACATCCAATCAATAAACTTTGTAAATCAACTTATTTAATTCAAAAAATGATCTATATAGATCAAGCAACCAATTAAACAATTAGCATACACTTTGTAATTAATTAATTTAAGCATCAATCATGTAATTAAAACTCTAAATTTAAGCTACAGAATTTATAAGTCTATTGCTTTCTGAACTATTAGATTATGCTTCCTAAAGTGGGATGTTTCTGAGTGCTAGCAGATTGGCAGTTTCATGATTCAACTTTGGACATCTTAATGTGTTTAAGTTGATTTTAATTTTAAATTGTCTACATGCTAGGATAGTCTCCCAACCTATTTTAACAAATCACCTTTTTACTTCCACAAAGGAGAGGTAGTAAGGATTGATTCTAAACTGGTGAATGAGGGGCTGGGGATTTAGCTCAGTGGCATAAACGCCTGCCTTGCAAGTAGTCAGTCGTGAGTTCGATCCCCGGTACCGATAAAAAGGCAAAAATAAATAAATAAATAAACAAACAAACAAACAAACTGGTGAATGCTGGAAGTGCTGACTGGGCATTCTGGGAAAGTGGAAATTGTCCAAAAGTCAAGAGCTCCAGGTATCTGCATCAGCCATTTGCTTTCATTCTGCTAAGGATTGAAATAATTCAAATTCAGATCCTGCCATGTGAGTTAGTTGCTCTTAAAGGAAAACTGATGACTGGTCCTGGGTGTCTTGCTTATTTCCCCTAAAAGATAGTGTCTTACTCCTACCCCATTGATCAAAGGCCTCTGGCTCCCTCTAAATAGTTTTTCCCTATATTTATAATTTTATTGTATCTAATTATAATTAGTATAGTGCTTACTTTTCTCCCCTACTGTACCTTTAGATATCTGTGCCTTTAGGGATGGTGTTAAATCTCAACTTTGATCTCCAGGATTATATTCCACATCCTATCCACAGCAGGTACTCAATAAATATTAGAAGATCTCTATAATCAATATCATTTCATTTCAAAAATCTATATAGAGCTAGATTTGGTGGCCCATACTTGTAATCCCAGCATTCTGGGAGGCTGTGGCAAGAGAATCACAAATTCATGCCCCACCTAGGAAATTTAGCAACTTACTGAGGCCTTGTCTCAAAATAAAAAGGGCTAGGGAAGCAACTTGCTGCAAAGGATTTGGATTCAATTCTCAGTACCAGAAAAACAAAACAATCAACTATATAGATCAGGCAACCAATTAAACAATTAGCATACCCCATTTCATGAAAGTTGTTTTTTTTCTTTGCTCTGCCATGTGTTTTCTCCCTATTACTTGAAGTAAGTTTTGGAGTTTCTGTCGCAGGTTTAGGGTACAGATCCCCATCGTTTGCTTGCTGTATACGATACCTTCCATTCCCCTTGTTCCCTCCCCGCTTTAACATTCACTCACCGTGTTGGTTTCCCTTTCAGTGACAATGTCAGTGCCTACTGCCTGCACATTGCTGAGGATGATGGGGAGGTGGACACTGATTTCCCCCCACTGGATTCCAACGAACCCATTCATAAGTTTGGCTTCAGTACTTTGGCCCTGGTTGAAAAGTATTCATCTCCCGGTCTGACATCCAAAGAATCGCTCTTTGTTCGAATGTGAGTACTGACTCTTGTTATTTATCTCAGTATGTTGCCCTTACCTTCTAGCATTTCAGATCTGATCTCATTTGTTCATCAAATGAATGTACTTGCTCTCTAGAGAGTCCACATATAATGATTACTTCCAGAGAGATGTTGGGGACAACATTTGCATTGTTATTTCATGCCTTTGTGCCTGCACTACAAACAGCCTGCTTTGCAGTAGCAAATTGGATAAGGTAGATCTTTGAATGTCATATCTACAAATAGGCCTTTGGAAACACTGGTGCACTTGGAAAGCAAAACTTGTAGATTTTTCTCCTTTAAAGAATTCAAGCTAAATGAAAATGTTCATTGTGGCCACTTCTCTCTTGTGACTTAAAATACCTTTTTCTATAGCTGTGTTCAGATCAAATTTGATTTTTCCTCTCAATTGCCTGCCTTAAACTGAGCAGATGTTCTTAACCTTTTCTATCCCTTTGCCAGTCTGGTAAAGCCTATAAAAACCCTTCTCAGAAACCTGTGTTTAAGTGCATAAAATAAAATTTACTAGAATATAAAAGAATTCAGTTATATTTCAAGTCATCACATTATTAAACATGATGTGGTAACACATGTGGCTTTATGAATAGAGTAAATAACAAGACCCAGCTGCAGTTCTAACCATAACTCTGGAAGTCTGTTGTTTCAAGGTAGTATAGTGAGTATAAGTGGTATTTGAGAAATCTGTACTAACTGTAATATGCTGTGTTGTTAGGATTTCTATTCATGACAATCACTAACAGTGCTAATGCAAGCTACTGTGATTTCTTGCCTCTGCTTATAATTCAAGGAAAGGCTACATATCAAACTTAGTGAAGATGGAAATGTAGTTTCTGTCTCCTGAGGCCTATGGACACGCTGAGTGCCATGGCTGAGGGAAGGCCGGCACACTCAGGCTTCACAGGAACCTAAGAGCTTCTAACCGCAGCCCCTCGCGTGGCCATCTCCTGGGAACAATAGCGATCCCTTTGGCACCCCCTGCTGTCAGGAATCAGCCTCTGAAACATACAGCCTCTGTTTGAGATTTTTTAAAAACTGACAACAGATTATACTACATAGGACACAGAAGGATTTTGGGTCTCTCTACTGTGGAGCAAAGAAAGCGCGCCGAGTGTCTGGGGTGAACAGGGGAGCCCCTTTTAAGTGTTCACAATGGCCATTTCCTCCCTATTCTGAGAATCAAGTTTGGTGTCTGTAACAGCAAATTTCCCCCATTTTTTCACTCCCAAGGCGCCAAAACAACTTTACAGGGTATTGAAAAGAATTTAAAAGTTATCCAGTGATCCGTGGAGTTCAGTAGTGGGGCGGTGCATGTGCCACCAGCAGGCACACACTGCCCTCTCTCACAGCAGCATGGGAGCCAAGCTGCCCCAGCAGCAGGGTAGCCAGTAACAGTTGTTTCTCTAAACTAAAACCTCCTTATTCTGCTTTAATTGCAGTGTTGCCACTTTGCAATAAATAATGAGTTTGGGGTTGCAGTTTGGGCACTTGATCTCTAAAAGGTTCACCATCACTGCTCTCATGAGTTCTATCTGTTTTCAGTTTTATATAATCATTTCCATGACAGTATAGACTATAGTGTCATCCCTAGTATGCATTTTACTTTATTTTTATTAATATTACAAATATTTCAATATTTGTTCTTAATTCCTATAGCCTACTGTATGCCAGGAATCTAGAGAGAGATGTAACTCTTTATTCATGGAGTATTACTGTCCATAGGAGAGAGTTTTTGGATAAATCATTAAAATGCAGTAAGCAATGTAAAATAAGGTACATAGAGGCCAATGGAAGAATATCATAGTATATTTACATTATTGCCTTGTTTGGATTTTAATGATTAATTATATGAGAGCCATTATCTGTCACCCTTTCATTTCTGTTGAGTAACTTCCTTAGGATCATTTCCTGTGATCAGAGAATAGGAACTTCTTTGGACTCTCCCTGACCTCAAAAGTGTTAGGAAATCAACCTAAGCCTCATACGAATTAAGTGAACTTTCTCCTACTGAACTATATCCCCAGCCCAGCAAGACTCTCACATTTTATTGACAAATAAAATGTACCCACTTACTGAGTCTGTCTGTCTCTCTCTCTCTTTTGAGACAGTGTCTTGCTATGTAGTGCAGGCTGCCCTTGAACTCGCAGTGCTTCTCTCACTTCAGCCTCCTGAATGCTGGGTTTATAGGCATGCACCACCACACCTGGCAGATACCTTTCTCAAAAATAAAAAAGGAAGGAAGGAGGAAAGAAAGAATGTTAATTTTTAATGCTACCAGCAACTCATAAAACCATTCCAGTCTTACTATCACAAGATATTACTGTAAGAATTTCTACTTGAAAAGATGCATATAAGCCAGACACAGTGGCATATGCCTATAATTCCAGCACTCAGAAAGCTGAGGGAGATGGATTACAACAGTTTGAGGCCAGCCCAGGTTACATAGCAATTTTAAGGCCAGCCTAGACTAAATAGCCAGACCCTGTCTCAGGAAAACAAATAAACAAAACACACACACAAAGAGATGTATCCCAGGGTTGGGTATGTACCCAGCAATAGAGTGCTTGCTTAGTTATATACCAGGCTCTGGGTCTGTTCCCCCAGCTCTGTAAAATGAAGAAAAAAGGGAGGTATATAAAAACATGGTAATAGTTTTTACTTTTATCTTATTATTAATAAGTAATTAGAATATTAACATATTACTATTGTAGTCTTTTGAACTAAAAATCTGTTTGAAGGCAGGAGCCTTGGAGGCAGTGATTTTTGGTAGAGTGGGTTGGGGCTGAGGCACCAGGAGCAGCATTTGAGGCTCATGTCTTGGTGGGAACCCTGAATTCCTGGGCACATGAGGTACAGAGGCAGGAAAGGGAAGCTGAGAGCAGCAGCTGCTTTAAACTCGGTGCTCTTTCTTTTCTCCTGAATTATCCCACTCCCAAACATACACTCTAGTCAATCTTTTTTTATTTTAAAGTTCTTTATTTGACATGTCTGAGATGTTTCTAAAAACATAAGGTGAAGTGAAATCTTTATATGTGAGCATTTAGAGCAAAAGTGTCAATAAATTTTCTGTTTCTTCTCATTGTCTGCTGAAATAGTACAGATTACTAACCATTTGCTCTATGCGTATTTTCTTGGTTCAGCAACCTCTCATGCACCTTTCTGCTGTGCATTCGAAGCTAGAAAAGCTTCTGCAGATGCAGTACAGAGAGCCCTTTGGGAGTCTCCAGGGATTGTCCTTGTTTCATAGAGGCAATGCAGCAATGTTGAAGCCCTGGTTTACTCTCCTTCATGTCCGTCTTTCCTCCTTTCTTCTCTCTACCTGTAGACAAAGGACAAAAACTAGCTGGAAAAACCCTGAGCTGAAGCCCAAAGGTAGAATTTGACTGAGTGAACAAATACTGAAGGTCCGCTATGCATGTCACCTCATTTAATCTCTGAATAATCCAGTTTTGATTATGACCAATTTAGAAACCTATAAGCTGGGCTGAGCAGTATTGTTCTCAGCCCCAGAGCTGACTCCATTCCTGATGTTAAAAGCCCATGGGCTTCCAGCACACTGATAAAAGTGAGCGTGGGGAATCTAGTGTTGACTTAGTGATCAGGTGAGTCCCCTTGTCTTAAAGCTGAGTACAGTAGGTAAGAGCATGGTGGCCTTTGGAGCCAGATCACTTGGATGCTGATCCTGTGTTGCCTTCACTAATGTATGTAATCTTGTTTTTTATGACTCAGCTATTTGGTGCTGATAATACCTCACAGATCAGTTGTGAGGCTGTACATAAAGAACTTAGGATAGTGCAGGTATGGATCATATCATCTTAAGTATTCAGTGCTGTTAATTGGTTTTCTACATAAGATAACCCTTCGAATCCAAGAGTGGAATCATCTATACCTGTGACACCCAGTATAGCTTCATTACTATCACAGATATGCCACAGATGTTTCTGGAAGGGGTAACTGACTCAGTCTCTTTGCTGCTTCCACAGTTTCCTACCTCTCCTACTTAACGTTTTATCACAGAGGAGGGGCAGGTTTTGGTTGGATATTACTTAGCTGGACTGAAAAGGCTAAATGAGAATAACTTTCGCTGATTGTAGGCAGGTATAGTAGACATTAAAATTAGTCCCCTTATAAACAAAAGATGGAATGCAAAACCATAAACTTTCTGAAGACTGGGAAGATCTGAAAGTCCGGTATCTAAGGTTACCCTGCTACCATCCCAACTAAACCCAGGACAGTTGTGCTTTGTGCTGCTGTTGGTTGGTCTGTACCGTAAGTGGGGCCACCCACTTACTGATTGATATCTGTACACAGTGTGACTTGTGTACCACAGAGCACAAATTCTTGAGAACCAGCAAACCTATTCCAGCGGAGAACCTTGTGCCCACTGAGTTCTCTCACCATTTTTCTCTATTCAGTGAATGATTTTTGCATACGGCTTGCAGTGGTACCATTTGACCTTTACTAAGTCTAACAGTGATGTCAAATAACTCTAGCTACTAAAACACATAACCCTCCAGCTCTCACCAGCTTATCCCAGGGGTTAGCAAAGGGCCAAATAATAAATATTTTGGCCTTGTGTGTCATATAGTTTATGTAACTCAACTCTGCCATAGTAGTGTAAAAATAGCCATAGAAAATGTAGAGGCAAAGGGCATGGGCTACATTTGTTAACCTCCAGCTATTCCAGCAAGTTTATTTCTCATTCACATCTGTCCAAAGAGGGCCAGGCAACTCTCGTGGAAATTTCTTCTCTGAGCAGTAACTCACGGTTCCCTCATCTAGGTGGAAGAAGGGGAACATGTAAGGTTGGCAGTGGCCTACATGTCTACCTCTACATTTCACATATTGTGCGTGTGCGTGTGCGTGCATGCGTGTGTGTGGTGACGTATATAAAATATCTGGTGATAGGCATATCATTTTGTGTTTAGTTCACTGATAACCATAGGAATTGTAATCACAAAATACAGTGAATGTTG